CTTCCACCACAGAAGCTCTATTCTGATTCGACGAGCCAGCAATTTCATCCAGTTTTGAGTCAAGTTTGTCGACTAAAGCGCTGACTGTTCGTTCGAGTCTTTCTAATCTACACAATCCGTCAATGCTAACTCATGGTATCCACGACCGTACAAACCTATCATCGACTGAGCTTCTGCGACCTCGAACAACCGAGTCTGCACTTGGAATGTCTATTTGTTCACGTATTGGTGGTGAGATCGAGCGTCGATGGCCGTTAAAGTCCAAGGAGCATCGTTGAGATAAGGTCTTGCAACGCAAACAAGTTCCATTTGAGCTGCTGGAAGCGTAACAGCGAGTTTTGTATTTGCGGCATAGATCACATGCTTTTGAAGCTCTGCCAGATCGTACAGGCGGCATAGTGATAGCTAGGGATCTGCATGCAGGAAACAAATGTTGAACATAGATAAGGAGTTCAACTGTCTATCGTGCCTTATCAGTAGCTATGGCGTGCTAGATTGATCACGTGGGAGCTACGGAGATATAAGTGACATCTTGACAACCTCATGGATACGAAAAGTGTTCTATCAGAAGATTTGTTATGACATCTTTCGGTAAGATACGTGGGTAGACTTGCAAGTGCGTGGAGATTTTAAGTATGTCTAGAAGACTGGCAATTGACTGAAGCGTTCCGATGAAACGACCCAATTGAACAAAAGCATTGCTTGAGGGGCCTGGCACTCTTGGGGAAGAGGCCAGTTAGGAATTAGGGCATATAATAACACCATGAAAGAAGTATGCCATACCATGAGCACCCCCAATATTGTCTCGAATACACCAATTATAATCTATTTGGCTCCAGTCTCAACCAGGGATGCCAAAGTCTAGGGTGGCAGATGATGGACAAGGTGAGGCCAGGTGAGCAAACAGCCGAAGATCAGCCACGGCAAGCACCCCACTACGGGGACCTTTAAATTTTGCGTGGATCGCGTTCCTCTCTTCTTCTTTTTCTTTTCTCCTTATGACCCTCTTCATTCAAGAAACCGTAAGTCCTTCACCACGCACAAATACTCGCATTTTGCTAACGTGTACCTCGCAGATGATGAGAACCGCGTGTTTAATATGATGCAGTGCCTCCTCCCCGGACCTCGAAACCCTCTGCCTCTCGGGGCAGCTTAAGCGGTTTCGTGGCGAGGTGAGGTTGGTACCATGAAATGGGCGTTCGACACAGACCTTGTTACAAGCATCGGACGCGATGGAAAAAAGCTCTGACTTTTTATGAATGAAAGAGAGGATTGTTTGGTTCGTGCGGCTGGGGTAACTCGGCGTGCAGAAATTGGACCGTTCTGGCAGGTAGGTTTTGTTTTTTGCGACTGAGGGAACTGGGGAGTGAGCCTCAAGTGAGGTTTCGCGTATATATGTCTACTACGAACTGAATTGAATTGAAATTTGTATCTTATTTGTAATGACAAACCTTGTGCTTCCCGACCTGCTGTTTTTGATAGAGTGAATGTGCCGTCCCTTGTCTAGACCTGTATCAGGTGAAATGAGTTTTTGGTGAGACGTGAAGAAGCGAAGAGGTTATCGCACAAGCAACCAAACACGCATGCAAACAGCCACAAGCAGACTGTGTCTGTGCTATCTGGATGCCCAACGATGCCTCAATTTGCATTCCCCTCAGACAAAAAAGTCCCCAGATTTCTTCAATCTCATGGAACATCGCCATCTCTGCAGTGGAGCTATCTTGGCGCAATCAAGTCCCTCTGAAATGAAAAGACAAAAGAATCCATGGTGACGACATCAGTAGCGTCCCCTGGAATTACAGTGGGAGAGTAGCGCCCGCCCGTGTCGGAGTCAACCACCTTTCCGGAGGACACGAGTTTGGAGGGTACATCGTGAGACCGCAGAACATCGCTGTGAGGCACAGGTACCTCTCTATCATCCACATCTCTCAGAATCTCCACCTTCTCGTCCTACAACCACCAAAGCCCAACCTCAAGTCAACGCCAACCCGAACAGCACACACCCCTCCCCTTGTCCTGCCACGCCCCAGAATCGTCCACGTCCCCCGGCGCGGATGCGGACACTCTCTCGTTGTCTCTCTCGGCCAATCTCTCTTTCTTCGTTCAAGACTCTTTCAAGATCTCTTTTTGCGCTGGTCACTTTGAAGCGACCCGACACGCTCGACTCGCTCGTCTTCTGCTGCAGCAGCTCTTATCGTCATCCTCGCATCGAGTCCCCCCCCCGGATCCCCGGCCATCATCATCTGTCACCGTACCCCGTCGCTCGTTGCAACGTCCGTCGTCTGAACTTTTTGTCCCTCCATCGCCCGGCGATTATAAGCTCGATATAGCTCCCGAGCTCCTGTTGGAATCATGTCAAGCTCCTTCGAAAAGTCCGTCAAGGGCGCAACAAAGATCAAGGTACGTGTGCGGTCTTGGCAGCGCGCTCTTGATGAGCCTAATATCAGCGGCTATCATGAGCCCAATCAATTTTCCTCGATGGGCGCTGGTTCTCGAGATTTGACTTGGTACTGATCTTGGATGCTATAGAATGCTCCCCCAAAAACGAAATACATCGAACACATTCTCGTAGCTACCCATTCCGGCGAAGCTGGCGTCGGCGAGGTCTTTCGCGCTCTCACATACCGTCTCCGCGATTCAACATGGACCGTCGTCTTCAAAAGTCTAATTACTGTTCATCTGATGATCAGAGAGGGATCTCCTGATGTTACGCTCGCCTTTCTTTCGACGCATCGCAACGTGCTAGCGATTAGCAGCTTCACAGACGGTACGTTCCACGCAGGCCGAAACATATCTGAGCTTGGGCATTGACAGATTGGCAGCACAAATCCAAGGACGAAATATCCGACATTATGCCCACTATCTAGCTGAAAGAGCTCGCGCATACGAGAAGACGAAGACGGATTGGATTCGCGCTTCTGAATCAAGACTTGAGAAGCTTTCGGTTGAGAAGGGATTGTTACGGGAGACGGAGATCGTCCAAAGCCAACTTGAGGCTTTACTAAAATGCGATGTAAGTTGGGACCGTCACGGGACTGAATCTCATGTGCTAACTTTCCCAGGTGATGGAGAATGAGCCAGAGAATGAAATCACGATAACTGTTTTCCGACTGCTTGTCTTGGATCTCTTGGCACTATTTCAGGTTCTGAACCAAGGGCTTATCAGCATTCTCGGTATGTTTGCCCCTCCCCCTCTGTCTCAGCCCGCCACTTTGACTAACATTCCGACCCCTTCAGGTCACTTTTTCGAGATGTCGAAGGTGGATGCCGAACGTGCTATGGCCATTTATCGGAAATTCACAAAGCAAACAGACTACGTCGTTCAATATCTGAGCGTAGCTCGTCAGCACGAACACCACACTCGGGTCGAGGTACCCAAGCTCAAGCACGCACCTGTCAACCTTGGACGCCAGCTGGAGGAGTATCTTCACGACCCCGATTTTGAGGTCCACCGAAGACAATACCTGGCCGAGCAGGATGTGAAGAAGATTGGTGGAGGCTCAAGCTCGAAGCAAGGAGGTCTCAGCAAAAAGAAGAGTACCGATTTCCCCGAACCAGCGTCCAACAACCCCTTTCCCAAGATCACGGCCTCTTTGAGCGGGAACAGGGCACCCGAGTCGAAACCGCAAGCCAACAAGGGTCCTGATCCCGATCTGATCGACTTCTTTGACTCCATCGAACAGAATCAGACACCGATGAGTATGAACCCTCAGCCTCAACAGCAGGCTTTCCAGCAGCAGCCGACAGGCATGCCGTTTCAACAGAACGGTTTCGCCGCCCAGCCTACTGGGTTTGCCTCCAACAGTCCATTCCAACAGCCTCAGCAAACTGGGTTCATGCAACCGCAGCAACCCCAGATGCAGCAGCCTCAGATCCAACTACAGCCCGACTTCACCGGAGCTGGTTTCGGAGGTTTTACTCCTCAACAAGCCTTCCAGCCAAGCTCGCTCGCACCAATCCCTCAGGATACAATGGCCAGCTTTCCCAACGCAGCCCCTCAAATCCAACAACCTGCTCAGAACGGATCGCCTCAGGGCCTCCAACCGATGCAAACAGGAAGCACCAACCCCTTCCGCCAGTCTATGCTCATGGCTCAACAAACAGGTCTTCCATCATCTGCTGCAACACCTGCTCTAAACCGCCAATCTACAAACCCATTCGCTCGAACATCACCACAGCAAAACACTTCTCCTTTCGCCCAAGCTTCAAACTCGCCTTTCCAATCACCGTCTCCTCAACAGCCACAGCAACAACCTGCTCTTCAACCTACACCAACCGGCACCAACCCCTTTGCTCGCAACTCCACGATGCCAGCGCCAACCCAAGAACAGCGTCCGCAAACAGCCGGCGCTGCTCTCGCTCCTCAACCAACCGGTACAACCAACCCCTTCCGAAACGGCGCTTTTGTCAACCACAACACAGGCATGGGATGGCAAGCCAACCAGCAGCCTATCGGAGGAGGCCTCGACCAACTTCCCACAGTACCTGTATTCCCTCGTCCTGCTCAACATACACCTTGGCAGCAATAAGACTATCGAAGCAGCAGTTCCAAATAAGAACCATCTTATCTTACAAGCTCAAATCAAGACATAATTCGCATCGCGTTTTCCACAGCGCCCTTTTGTTTCCGTTTCTTGGCTGTAACAGCCTCTCTTTCCATATAGTAAGCGAGGCGTTTTCGGGGGATGAGATTCGAAATGAGGATTGCAAGGCCACAGGATGAGCACACAGAAGGATACAGTACCCTTCTGTAATTAACCTTCAATCCTCTCCTGGTGATTTTTCCTTTTGGATTAGTATAGTAGCAGTCATACAAAAATACAATTATCATCAATTATTTATTTCCTCTGTATTCACTGTCTGGTGTATGTTCTCTGTAGCCATGGTATCGTGTCCATTTTTTACCATCTTCAAAACTCCAATTCCGTTATATCCCTCTGTATTTACCCAAACTCCCAAACTCCATAGCTATGCCCGGTTTAAACGACGAAAATCATCTACTAGAACGGATCGTCGACATCCATTCTACCCCCTGTATCTCCCGTCACAGCCGCTTCTTTCGCACCAGCTGTAGCAACACTCTTCTCAACCTTCTCCTCATCCACAAACACTCCCAGCCCTGAAAAAGCCTCGAACAATGCTCGTGTGAGATACTCATCAGGACTGTACCCTCCAGCCTTGTACTCAGGCTTTGTCCTCGTGATCTCGACCCATTCGTTGCTATACGTCGCCAGTTTCTCCGGCGCAAGGTCCACGCGCTCTGGCATGACGCGCACGCCGCCGTACGGATCGTATGGCTTGTTGTCCACAACGACTGCCTTCTTCTCGCGCAGTCCTCTGATAGAGAGACCGCTGCTTCCTGCGGCGCCGAGTGCTGCGTCTCGCTTGTTGTGACCTCGTTTCTTGAGCATGATCTTGTCCATCGCCTCTGATGCGCGGCCCGTTTCTGCGCTTTGCAGAGAGTCGAGCATTTCCTCTCGGAAGCGCTTGGCGTTGGCTTTCTCCTCGAGCTCTTCTTGTTGTTCACGTAATCGTCGCTGTCGAGCTTCTTCCTCCTCTGCTGCGATACGACGTTTGCGAGCATCATCTGTCTCGCGCGCAAGACGCCTGTTGCGCTCAATGTCCGCCTTGTGCTTCGCCTCCCACTCGCCAAGCTCCGCCTCAGCCTTCCTCTTCTTCTCGTCCGTGCCATAGACAAGGTCACACGTCAAACACTCCACCATCTCCAGATACTCATTATAATCGTCCAGCGTCTCAAAGTCCTCCTCAACCTTGTTAAACACCGCCGCCACTCGTCTCCTAATATCGACTTCACGCTCCACGGCAAGATCCGCGAAGAAAGCAGTCTTGAAACCGCGAAGACGAAGGGTCTTGTGGCAGCCGGCGTAGGGACATTGGTTGGGGCCGTCTTTGAAGATTCGCTCGACGCAGGTCTTGCACATCCGGTGGTAGCACTCCGGATTGATGCGAAATTCCATGTCGCGGTTGAAGTAGCGTGTTGTCTTGCATACGGGACATGTCTCGTCTTGGTCTGGCGGTGGAGGCGCGTTGAGATCTGTGGCGTGGCGTATTGAGACGCCTGCGCGAGACATTTTGGCTGGTGAGTGCACTGGCTGTGCGGTTGAGTGGAGGCCCGAGGTTGTGGAGAGAAGAAGAGGAAAGGAAACGCTTTGTTATGGTGAAGAAGTGATTAATCAGTGACTACCTTAATCAAATGTTGGTTCTGCACGGCTGACGAGACGGGGATAGCAGACGTGCCGGGGAGATTCCCATTGGTCAAAGCTCAAAACGATGTCGCCCCACCTTCTAGCTGCCCCTCCATGAATTGTCAGCCTTCTCTCATAACCAACAGCTTCCATCGATTTCTCCCCTCAGAAGATATCACAACCCCTTCAAAAACATCACCATGGCTGATAACGGTGAGTGCTATTTTAAGCCCTCACTCTATGAGTGGCCATAGACAGATTCATTGTCAATTATAAGCCTCACGTACTGACTCTCACAGAACCTACACCCGCTGAGACCGCCGCTGCTAACGCAAAGGAGGCCGAGGAGCAGGCTGCTCTTCCCTACAAGTGGACTCAGACCATCTCAGAGCTCGACGTCACCTTCAATGTACCCGGAAACCTCAAGTCGAGAGATCTCGTCATTACTATCAAGAAGCAGAGCCTACAGGCGGGTATCAAGGGCCAGGATCCAATCATCCAGGTACACACATCATCTCAAGCCACATCTCATACACCTACTAACCCACAACAGGGCGATCTTCCCCACGCCGTCCACGTTGACGACTCTACATGGACGCTTAGCACCAACTCAGACGGCACCAAGACAGTTGAGATCCACCTCGACAAGGTGAACAAGATGGAATGGTGGGCGCACATCGTCACATCCGCCCCCAAGATCGACGTGACCAAGATCCAGCCCGACAACTCCAAGCTCTCAGATCTCGACGGTGAGACCCGCGGCATGGTCGAGAAGATGATGTTCGACCAGCAGCAGAAGGAGAAGGGCCTGCCTAGCTCAGACGAGCAGAAGAAGGCTGATATCCTCAAGAAGTTCCAGGAGCAGCATCCCGAGATGGACTTTAGCAAGGCCAAGATCCAGTAAAGAGTACATATGACGAATCACTCATTGAAGAATTATAAGACGTTTCAATTCGTTACTTGTTGTGTTGCTTCATCTTGTTTCTAGAGCAATTGCTGCGCGCTCGAGAAAGGCGTTGAAGTTTTTCACTTGTTGGAGCATACCGCCCGCGGAGCTCGATGAGCTGGCTTCGTCTGTGATGCGTGCGACGAGAAGCTCGAGGTTAGCCAGATCGGCCTTTTTCTCTTGGGCGCGTGAGAGTTCAGGGGCGTCACGTCCCCGTTCGACTGCCATGTCTATATCATGCATTATAGCTGAGGTGTCGAGTCGGTACTGATACGATTAGCTGGTGTTGCATTCAAGAAAAGCAGTGGGCAACTCACTTTTGACTCTTTGGTGTCCTCTTCGTGCTTGATGCGTACAGCATCCATCTTGAGCGCGACTTGTTCCCTCTCTGCCTTGAGGAGCAATATCTCTTCTCGCAGAGAGAGTTTCTCTCGCTGTACCAGACGAACACGCTTCCGTAATGATTGCCAGTCCATGAGGTGAATTGACTAACTCGTCAGTCCCAATACTTCCCACGCAAAGCGAAAACAACTTACCAATTGTAATAACCGAGACGTAAGCTCTTCCTTGTACGCCTCAAGTGCCCGTATCTTGATCCGGCATTCTTTCTTCTTATCCTTCTCTTCGGTATTCTGTAGCGTCTCAAGGAGCTTCGCCACCGTGCCATCGATGACTTCTAAGCAGGCCTGTGCAAAGACATCCACTGCTGTCACTCCAGTTGTGGTAAAAGGGAGATCCGCTGCGAGTTGATCCTCTTCTTGGTCGTCGCCGTTGATGAACTTCTTGACGTTGACGAAGCGCTGAACTGTGACCTCGATAGCTGAACCGTCGCTGACTCGCCGCTCTTTGGCGGCTTGTTTCGTCCTGCGGACCTGCTTCGGTAGTGGTTTTTCTTGTGTTGTCCGTGATTTCGATTTCGTAGGCTTTGGTTTGGCGGCGGGTTGCTTCTGTGTCGCGGGGCTTCTTGATGGTCTTCCACGACGTCGTTTCGCTGCCGGTTCTTCAGTCTCCTCTTCTTGTGCTTGTTCCTCGGGCTCGGCAACTGGCGATTGAGATGGGAGACTTCTTCGAGGGCGTTTTCTCCCAATCGTCTTGGCCGCTTTAACTGCATCGATGGCTTCCGCTGCCTCTTCCTCCTCCTGTGGTTCCTCCTCTACTGCAGGCTCCTCTTCAACTTCCTCCACTTCAGGTTCTGCTTCTTCTGTAGCATCATCCGATTGCTCATCATCCACAGGGGCGTGATCCGCTCGATTTGGTGAAAGTTCATCCTCCTCATCATCTTGCTCCGCAAGCCTAGAAGGTCGCCTTTGTGACAGTCTCGACCGAATTACGGCGGGGCCTTCGCTGCGTCGCACCTTGCGCACCAGCGGCGAGGAGGAAGGCGGCGCATCGTCCTCTTGTAACGTCGTGTGTAGTCGTGTCGTTGACGATACGGCTTCGCTCATGCGTACGTCCTGTCGCTTGTTCGCAACATCTTGCGCAATCTGTTCCAGTGACCTGCGGCTCGCCCGTCGCTGCGATGGTTGTTCGGAAGGTTCATTATTCGGTAGCACCGGTAACTCAACATCAGCTTCGTTCTCATCTGGCACTTCGACGTCTGGGCTCGGTAATTCAGATTCTGGCTGCGGCTCTGGTTCGACCTCCTCCTCCTCGGGTTCTACGTTCGGCTCCTCTACAGCATCGGGAATACGTTCTTCCTCCTCTCGCGATTCACCTGTCGTATCCTGCGCGCCAGATTCCTTAGATGTTTCTGGCAGATCGTAGGGGTCTCTCGATCGAGGCGATCGTCTCCGTGCCCTTCCTTGCGCTTGTGCAGACTGTGGCGGCTCGTTATCCAATCTTCTCCTCTTAGCGGAAGTATTCGGTGTTCGGCGCTCCGACGATGTAGGAGGTGCGGGTGCAGGTGCGGCGGGAGTCGAGCCAGCTATGTTAAGGCCAGCGATGTCGAGGTTGAAGGAGTCATCTTCAATGTTGGCACGCCTTGAGTCGCATTAGCACAAACACCCTAGTTATTCCGGCGGTAAGCTCATACTGGGCACCTCGTAGACGCTCGTTCAGCCGGTCAGCGCGGCGCTGTTGGCCTATTTATGGTGTTAGCGACTTGATCAACTGCTTGATAATGGGAATCGCTGTTGGCATACCTGTGGCCATTGTGGGGGAAAAGGGCACCTATATCTTTCTCTGCACATTCGATTTTATCCAGGGTTAGTGTTAAAGCTGAATGCGTTGGTGGTGTTTCAATTGGGCGTTTTTAATTGCGATGTTGATGGAGCAATGTTTGGATATACTTGTGACGCGTGGGGTGAGACGCGTTCTAGAGCCGCGGGGCATCGAAGCAATTAATTGACTGATGGGCCAAATCCACCGACCAATGACTAAGGTATCTGCAAGACAAGACTAGAACATGACATTATAAAGTATTTTCTTGGGCTTTGTGTCGATTATAAATTTGTAAAATCTGCATGATTTCTCCCATTATAAGCATGGAATTTCTGATATCAACCAAGTAAATAAAGCCCCAAGACTTTTATAAGACGGCCAGCCGTCATCAACCGGGTATTATTAGTATTATATATCCCTTTCCAGTCTATTCTTGGTATACCCTTCCTGCTCGGCAGAGCTGAACGCCTTTTAAATAAGCCTCAGTCCTATGTACATGATAACAGCTGAGGCCTAGTTCATAGGAACCCACTGCATCTTTTCTGCGTCGAATCGGTGACTAATCCCTTGTCAGCTCTCATGGACACGCATACACGTTGCATTGGAGGATCATACTCATGGTAATCAGTCTTTGACAATGCTCCCTTGCCGTATTCTGAAGCCAGGATCTCCTTGTACCTGTACGGAATCTTGGCTTGGACGCTTTCGAAGGTGGTGTCTAGTAGAGGAAAGATGTACTTGTCCTGCCACATGAAGCTTTAGCACAAGGCAACGATCATTGCCATATGTACGGTACGCACCTTGAACTCGTGGTCATGCTTGTCGTACATAACTCCATCGCCCATCTCATGCCCAGGGTCATATCTCGCCGCAGTGATGTCAATAAACAGGCCATTCTGCATATCGATCCACCTTGCATCAATGAAGTTCATGTAATCATCCCTCTCACGATATTTATGATACGGGTTGATCTCCAGCTGAAAGAAGCAACCCTCCGGGCAACCATCGTACTGGTAGTAGTAGATAGTCATGTTATGATAGGCAGCGAGGAAATACATGTCTGCCTCAGTAACTGAGACATCAGCGTCAAGGTCCCATGGCATGACCTGAGAGAATCCTTTCGGTTAGAGAAGGGTCTAGACATGTGAAGTTATGGATATCCGTTATTCTCACCTTCTTTCCCCACCACCAGCCGAGAAGGGAGCCATGCATTAGCCAGGTCTGGACTCCCAGATCTCGAAATGTGGCTAGGTATGTCTGCATGAGGACTTTGATGCCTGCATTCTGAAGATGTGGCTCAAGAGCTTCACCAAAATATCTCAGATCATAGTGGGGATATTGTCTGAGCGAGTGAGCCCTTGTTAGTTTTCTGTGCGGCGTTGTTGGTTGTTGGTTTGGTAACTCACGATGCTTCCCCTGCAAGTTCCGTTAGTCAAAGACCTTCTCGTTTAGGATGCGATGGACAATTCCATTGGGCATAAGGGTGAACTTACTAAAGTATTTCGGTGGAGGAGCGTCTCTGGTGGGAAGTTTCTGTTCAATCTTTTGCAGCACGTCGGGGACTCCAAAGGCACTAGCGCTGGTGATCCAACCCAGGGCAACGGCAATGGATGCCGATAGTCTCATGTTATATCCGTATTCCTTCTGCCTAGGAGACTGTCACTACACGTGGTCGTCGAGACTCAATGGTCAACGCGTATAGTCAGTTTAGGTTGGTTACGTGGACTCTGTGGTGATGCTTCTGGAGATCTGCAGGGGTAGAGGCTCGCTCGCTCGTAGGCTGGCTCGTAACTTGAAAGGGGGCGTGCGGCAATGACGTTGAGACTGGAAGCCAGTGAGAGATTACTTAAATCGAAGCATTACCTAGTGGGTATTATGTTCACGAGAATATAAGAAGATGTAGAGTGTGTGCTTCTTGGTGTTGAGAATAATTAAATTAGGTACAGTCTGCACGATTCAGTGAGCGTGCAGACAATTAATTGTTTGATTGTTCCCGTGGCTCCCACACATCCGACGTAAAGGTCCGCGTCACCAGCTGAGATCATATCGATAAGACGAACTGCCTGTATCTCTCAATAATAGATCTCAACAATTTATATGAATTATATCAACCTCTCTCTAGGGATTCATGAGGCGCACGTGTCCGGAAATGGACCTAGATGTGGCGGCTTAAAATGCATCTTCATGCCTCGTAAATTCAGTCGCTGACACTGACGCAAGCTCGAATGCCCCCAGGCACGCACATTTTAAGGTTGCCCAGCCTAGACTGCCCGCCGTCTCCACCTCCTCCTCCGTCCCTCGCATCGCCAAGCTGAAGCTCAGCTGCCTAAGCTCCCTCATCTTCAACCTCCACTAACCTTAGCCTTATACCCGGCTACTTGTCATCTTCAACCCCTCCCATCAGACCAGCGATTCCACCGCGCTTCTCGTATTCCCTTTTTCCCTAGAGTCGCTCGACGCAAACGCACCAACGGCCGATACCTCCTTTTCCCGCCCTTGACAATGGGCGCGTGGAACGTACGTCTGCGAAACATCATCATGCACTATCGACCGACAAACTGACAACACCATAGCTCTTCCGTGTCCTGGGCGACTTGTCCCACGCCCTCTCCAAATGCATCCTCATCTTCGCTATTCATCGAAACAGGAGCGCTGAGGGCGTCTCTCTCATCACGCAGATCCTCTACGCCCTCGTCTTCTGCACACGTTACCTCGACCTCTTCATCGAGACGGTACCATGGAACATCGTGTTCAAGATCTTCTACATCATCTCGTCTATCTACATCCTTGCTATTATGCAATGGATCTACCCTCGATCGCGTGAGCGTGAGATTGCTTGGAAAATTGGCGCCGTCATCCTCGGTGGCTCATTTGTCCTGTCTCCGTTCGTCATGCTCATCTTTGAGAGCCACAAGGGTTTCCGACCTGTAAGCTACCGTTCCCTGACATCTTGAACGTTTCTAACAACTTGTAGTGGATGTGGGTATTCTCCCAGATTCTCGAGTCCGTTTGCGTTCTTCCTCAGCTTCTCCTCCTTCGACAAACAACCGTCCCAACCGTTATCGACTCCTTCTACCTCGTCGCTCTCGGTTCCTACCGCGCCCTCTACTGTGTCAACTGGTTCATCCGTGAATTCGAGATCTCCGGCAAGAAGCCCAACACCGTCTCCGTCATTTTCGGCATTATCCAGACTGCCCTGTACATCGACTTTGCCTGGGTTTACTACACTCGCCAGCGCGTCAAGCTCCGAGGTGGCGGCATTGTCGACGCTGACGACATGTCCCGCGGATGGCTCCTCCGCCGAATCTTCGGAAAGCGCTTCGAGAACAACGATGACGACGAGGAGAGTGGCCCTGGTGGATTCGAAGATGAGCAAGGTGGCCGACGGGGAGCTCGACCCAAGTGGGGAGCTCGGGGTATCTCAGTCAGTGCCGATGACGGCGTTCTCGAGCAGGACCGACACAACCGTGACCAGGACGAGTTCGGTGGCCCAGTCGACCCTGACGCCAAGATGCAAGACCCCGATGAGCTTGCCCGAGCTCTCGACGATGACGACGATGAGCAGACACCACTGCGACCTGGACAAACAGAAGGCCAGCCCAGCGGTCTTCAAGGCGGCGAGGGTTGGCGCGACTAAGGCACCAAGCTTCCACGCCAAACTACAGCTTACATCACTTTTACGAACGCGAGTATGAACTCGGACGGAGTATGACGGATTGTTTATTTGGAATGTCTTGAAAGTTGAAAGGTCTACCACGTTGCCATTTTAGTGCCACGTTTGATGCAATGTGATGCATGGAACTGCGTTAGAAGAAGAGGGAGAGCTGGTCTTGCTGATCTAGCAATGTTTCTGGGGGTATTCATGGGTCAGATTTATGTACACATAGCGAAATTCTAACAATACTAATCTCAAGACGAGATGAATTGGAATTCGGTCACTTTAAGATCATGCATGTCGCATTTGCGATTTGAATCAAAGAAGGGGTCGATGTGTGGATATCATTCAGGCAATAATCATGCCCATTCCTGCGCTCAAAACCAGTGCAGTTGTGTTGAGACAATCCCATCCCTTTCGACCATCACCACCATGTCCTTCAAGGACAACCAACGAGCAGCTCCCAACAATTCGCGCCATCTGACAAGGAATCTTTCCAGTCCTGTCTTTTGCAACTCCCGTCAGCGGCATCCCAAGCCGCGAGAATAAAACTCCGATAATAACAAAATACAAAAGCTAAACCGTAGCGAATGGAAAGAAAGTAAAAAAAAAGTCATATACTAGTAATAACATAAACGTCTTGAAACCATAGGGTATTTCCTTCAATGGACGAAGCGCTTCTCGAACTCTGCAAATAGCTTTGGGGTGATTTCATCGCTGCTCATGCCCTCAATCTCGACGAGCACGCCCTTCTGGGCGTAGTGGTTCAGGACAGGCTCGCTGGTCTCTTGGAACTTCTTGTATCGTGCTCTGTAAACTTCCTCGGAATCATCAGGGCGCTGAATCAATCGCTCGCCGGTGACGTCGTCAATTCCAGGGACTCGAGGCGCATTGAAGCTGGTGTTGTAGACTCGGCCAGAAGGCTCGTGGACCCAACGTCCGAGGATTCGCTCGAGAATAACAGATACGGGAGTCTTGAGGGAGACTACGAGATTGATCGGGATAAGCTTGTCGAGAGGACCGACTTGAGAAGCTGTTCGGGGGAAGCCATCGAGGATGAACGAAGCGGAGGGGTCGTTGGAGGCCTTGGAAGGACGGTGGCCGTCGAGGAATGGAGCGTTGATGAACGGATCAGAAGCAGCGCTATTGAAAGCAGCCTCCATTGCCGTCGCTTCAGAAGAAAGAGTCATGACATTCGGACCGCCATTCTTGGCGAGCCATCCGCGAGTGAAGAATTCGTTGGAAATAAGTCGCAGGATAAGATCATCAGCAACAAGTCCACCCGACTTCATCGTATTCTCGACCTTGATGCCTGTACCATTATTAGCATGCGCCTAAATGCTCCAATTGAGGGGAAACCAACCGAGGGGTGTCCTCTCCTTGACATTTCGACGCAAAAGGTCACCAGTACTAATCTGATTGAGCTGAGGAAAGCGAGCGAGCAATCGCTCGCTCTGTGTCCCTTTACCAACGCCAGGTGCACCGAAGAGGATGACGCGAGCGGCCTTGTTCAGGTTCATTCTAGGCGACCTATAACGATTGAGGCCGTCGCGAGTTGAAACAATTGAGGAACTTTTCACGTCGGAACGAGAGAAGGAAAAAGTTGCGCTTCTATGCGATAAATGAGAAAAAGGCTGTAGGGGCGGATCCAAAAAGTCGTTCGAGGTTTAATTTCTTGTTGAGGGTCGATGGGACGATGCTTTCGGAGATGGCGCGGGGAGATTGTTGAGTTCGGGGAAATAAAAAGCAAGCACCGGCGGAGGATAGTTGTATATGGAGGATCAAGAGGTTGAGGGAGAGGGAATGATGGAATAAGCAGCCACGGGATTACAAAACAACAGTGAGCGATGGATTTGATTTATAACCAAGAAAGAGGGAAAGACGAGATGCGTTGAGTTGAGGTGGATGGGAGCAAGGTTGGAAGTGGGGGGCTTATGTAGTGTAGATAGGGCGAGGCAAAGCGCTGTTGGTGTTGAGTCCAAGTCGCAAGCGCGGTACTTTGAGTTGCGCTGTGATTCAGCGATGACACAGGTACCGTTCACTGAAGATGGTGTGGACCGTGCGATGGAGGGAACGGTCAGGGTGGGCAGGGACCAATCTCGACAAGTTGAATCTTGATGGCGGAGTCTATAACCGTGGCTTGCCGTCTTTAACATCTAGACTTTTCAACGTCCTATTCTTGGTGTTTTATATTATTTCATGGAATACAGGTATGGCTGAACAAATACCGGGACATTTCGGACTTCGGATGATGTGGCATATGATGAATGGGGTGGTAAGAGAATCGGTGGTTTTGCCTTAAGTCCGGTACGGGCTTTGCGATCGAAACAGAAAAACATGGGAAGGGGACGGTTAATTATCCCGTGTCATTTCAAGGTGTCATTTGTCGATCTGGGGAATAAAACGTGCACACTCCTTCTTGGCGCCGTTGATCCGATACATGCAGCATCTTCGCTCAAAGTCCGAGATCGCTGTATGACCTCGGCAGCACGACCACTTTCTTTTCATGCAGAGGATATTCGACCTCGAGAACAAAAAGAGTGAATACTCGAGTCTCGTTTCGTTCTAGAGTGCACCCTAGAAACAGTTGGCGGCGTTAACGGCATTCCAAGAAATGATGATGCCTACCTTAGCACGTGTGTTCCCTGCGAACCAATCAAGCTTGTCAGATTTGCTTTCCAAGAACCCCGGATTTTCCAAGGCGATGGACGGACACCTCGGCACACGGCATTACAAGCCACTGTGCATACCCGTGCAAGCGAGCGTGCCGTCATCGTGGTAAAGTCAGCTTTAGGGTAGTGCAAGCTCTGTAGAGAAACTCACGGATAGCAGAAAGCCATGGAGATATTAATTGTTAATATTTAGAATAATTAATCTAAAATCTCCCAAACATATCATAAGATTGCCTAAAGTGATCCTAAATTTACCTAAGCATTTTCTACAATTATGATCGTGGGCTAGAGTTTCCCGTCAGCGTGAAACGGTTATTAATTATATGCTGGTGCGCCCAACCATGATATAACTACCTACTTCTGTCATCGTCACGGCTTTAATCTAATTAATTCAATATGGAAAACAGGAAAAAAGAAGAACAAATAGGGATCATCCCCAGCATTGACACATAACCGCCCAACCCCCGAAGCGTCCCATGTTGGTCCTCTTCTCTGATGCTGGATCAGGAGCCCCGAAGGCCGATGGGAGAATGGCTTTATCTCGATGAAGCTCATGCAATCAAGAACCTAGAGAGCCGCACCTACCATCCCATGTCAACACTCAAATTTCAGCTCGACAGCTATCTCATGATGACAGGCAGACAACAAGGGGAATGATGGCTGTGCCCTTCTCAGTATGCTCCACGGCCATCCAATCACCAGCTTCCTCCTCTTTCAGGCAGCGTTCATCCAGAGCGTATCTACCGACCCTGACTTTCCTTAAGGCTTCTACAGAGAGAGATACATCCAGATACTTGACGCCTGTAGCCTTCGTCGACCACAGAGCGCAATTGAACAAGAGCTGATCGAAACGCCTCGTGACATTCCCTCTCGATCCAGAGGATCGAAGGCGGACTAATGACGTCTAATACATGGCCAAGAAGGCCAGAAGACTTGGTAGCAAGCTTGCAGGCTGGAAGTATCTTATACGGGCCCAGCAGTATACATACCACCCTATGCTGGTTAAGCTTAAGTGTGAGAGGGAAGCCCTGGCTAAAGCCATGCACCGCAACGAGGCCATGGGAGCCACGGACGAAGGCGACCAAGCAGCGACAGACCAGCTCACCAAGTCGAAGACACGACTGGAGCAGGACGAGAACTGGCCCTATCTCGTCGGGTGAAAGTCATCACGTATGTCATCGACCAGCATAACGATCGATATCCCGACCATGCATTTTTAAGTGTAGATGAAAGTATCTACTTCTTGGAAATTGTCGTAGTTGCCTTCAGGAACAGGTTTGACCCAGAATTGCAGCTTGAGTACAATGGACGGCTAGGTCCCATCGATAGGCACTTCGCCATCAAGACGGCTTTTGAGGCCAAGCCATCACAGGTAATGCTTGCGACCAGGGCCACAGGAGGACAGGGCCTCAATCTCCAATGCTTCAGTGCCGCCGTCTAACGCGGGCTGTGGTATGGGACGTGCAGACACGTCTCAAAGGGCCCGAGTTGCTTCAATCCTAAATGCCAATACTACTTAGGTAAGTTTATGATGGCTTAGATTAATTTAGGATAAAGTTAGGATGCTCTTTGATGAGTTTTATTCTCACCCGAAGCGAGCAAGCGAATATGCCGTCGTCGCTACTACTATAGTTGCTTAACTCCTAACGAGTTTCCTGAAGACAAGTCCTCCCCCGATGGAGCATACCATCATACTACTGAGGAAATGTCTCAGCCTATCCACTACGGTTACCTGACTCCAGCTGAACTCGTTGTAGGTGAAGTTAATCTTGATGCTTGGGAGTCTTAGTGGCTCTGTAGCCCCTTTGAGGTAACGGAAGTTTCTCTATGGTCGGCAAATATGGATCTCGATATAAGGGCAGTCGACAGAGACATAATCTGGTTACCTAAGCCCTGATATGCGAATAAGCCCCTTCACACTCACCATAAGCGATCACTACTTGAGGGAATGAGTCTGTGTGAAACATGTTGGCCTGAGCGCGGAGATAGGGTACTTTTGCTGGGTTTAGGTTAAACTGAGTACGGATGAACTGCGAGAATAGCTTTATACTCTAGCTTGAGGTAAAAATGGATATGACCCTCTTGAAGACTTCTACCAGATATTCCTGGTGCCGGCCAGAAACCTTGGTGATTGAGTGGGAAATGTAGGGTGGCAGTCCTGTCGCGTCGACAGCACATAAGAAAAGGCCACGGTGATCCTGCTTGAAGCCGCGGGTCGTTGAATCTATTTCTATCATCTTGCCGCAGACGTTCATTCGAAGTTCGGGAATTAAAAGGGCACCTTTTATATCCAGCAGGGACTTGCGCTGAGGGCGGCTGATGTGATGACGTGTGAGCTTGGGCCTTTTCCAAGGCGGCTGGAGAGAGCTATCGGCTTCGGAGGCATGAGATTAACGTGGAGTGGGCAAACTTACGCTTCATCTTGGTGGCATGATGGTAGGTGGGCTTCAAGTTGTCGTTGCCACGTTTGGTCTATATACAGGTCAGAGGAACTGGTCGGTCAACCATCCCAGGCGCCAGGGGCTCGCGAGCTTCAAAAGTATGTTCATATGAAGCGCATGAATTGATTGATCAACTTACCATCTCTTTTCTGGTGATGTGACTGCAGTGGTCTTGCCGAGAGAGGTATGCCGAGAGGGATTGTGTGTTGACGGAGAGGGAAGGAGAAATTTGAGATGGAAGAAGGAAGAAAACTTCTGTAGGTACCGAGAAGAATTCTAATGCCTGGTACTTAATAAGTATGTCACTGACAACGACGGTGAATCACCGTCATCGCGAAGAACGATCGGAGACACTGTCACCAAGCGACCCAGACTTCTTTAATCCTAAATGCTAAAGTGGACGTAGGCAAGTTTATGATAGTTTAGGGCAATTTAGGGTACTTTAGGATACATTTAGGAGATTCTTTGAAGAGTCTGCTTTCGTCTCTAAGGCCAAGCAAGCAAGCATGCCGCCATGAACAGGTAGTCATTGAGACGGACAGCGGACAGAGCCAACGGAGCGTACCAACGACAAGAAGTTTCGTGCATCCCAAGCCTCGCGACAATAACGAACCGTAATTGAATCTAAGGTTGCGGGAGGATATGGCGGAGCGGCGCGGCAGCGGTAAGTTGCGGAGCGGGTGCGGCCAAAGCTCTCTTGTCGTCAGGTGAAGGACTGGCCAACGAGCCAAATTAAGCTTAATTTTGAGCTTCTTCCTTATCAGATTTACAGCCACTTCGTTGAACTTCCTCCATTTGTACGCCCTGGCATTCCGTCATTGGTGACGGCATTGCTAAACAGTCAACGGAGGCTTTGATGCTCAGGATTATAGAGAAATGACATGTTAAAAACAACATCACTTTTCACAATTGCCGTGCATGTTTCCCGAGCATTCAATCGTGGGGTGTTGCATCCATACGATCAGCGGAATTATGTCCCCATTGACTAACAAACCATCGGGATGTGGACCACCAACCTCACGGCTAACATTCTCTATTCCTCCAGCTATAGGATTCTTAGGCCATGAAAGCTGCCGGATGTTATCCGACAACTCAGTCTTGGTAGACGAGTACACCCACTACCGGTGACACCTCCATCGTGTAAGTACCCAGACATTCGGTATAAGACGCATGCTTCTTAACCGTCATGGGATTTGCAGGCGTTAAAAGGGCCGAAAACTTATATGGGCTCCCCGCATGTTTGAACGGTTTAGAGCCTGCGCCGTCCCCAGATTATCCCCGCGTTGGACCTCTGCATCATGAGAATCACGGCGTTTTTAGTCATGGACCACCAGGTTTTTCATCGGGCTATATTCTTGGCATTAGGGACCGGCCTTCTCATCTGGTCTTCTCATTCGGCCAGCTCCGTCGGAATGCGTTGCGATTGGGTCGGGCCAGTGCCCATTGCTGGGTTTGTGAGTTCCGGACTTGACTTATAGCTCCCGGATGCTCGATTCTTCGCGCTGTGAGGTTAGACTGAGAGAAGTAAGGATCGAAAAGGTCGGTCCGAATCAAGTTGATGATGATGGAGTTTGCGATGGCCAAGATGGTGAGAGTGTCAGTGAATGACCTCGGGTCTGCTAAAACTTCGGGATATGGAGAGATGTCGATGAAGAGTGAGTGCATATAAGATGAAGTGATCGACCGAATATTTGTATAGGACCAGTTGACTCACAGGCTCGGATTCTCATCTATCTCTTCTACACCTTCATCATGTGGTCCAGTTTTCTCCTCCTGGGAGGCGTGTCTTTGAGCATAGCCAACCCAATTATTCGACAAGATGCCAATCCTCCCTACCGAAACAAGACTTTATGTCTTGACAAGCGTGTTGATGACCTCATGTCCCGCATGTCCCTCGAGGACAAGGCAGGCCAGATGTTCCACGGCCGTACCGTGGTGGTCAACAACACCTTTGATGAGACCATTGAGGAGTTCGTCACTGGCAAGCGTATCACTCACTACGTTCTCAGCGGCGGTGTCAATGATGTGCGAGGTGTTGCAAATTGGTATAATAAGCTACAGAGGCTGGCGTTGAGCACACCCCTTGGTATCCCCAGTGAGTACTACTGCTTTGATGATATTGTGACTCCATCAATTCCTAAGCATACTGACGACTTGTTAGTCACAATCAGCAGCGATCCTCAACACGGCTGGACAGACGAGAATGCTGTCTCCGTAGTAGCACAGGGATTCTCTCGATGGACTGAACCTCTTGGTCTCGCTGCGCTGCGATCCCCAGAGCTGGTCCGCCAGTTCGCTGAGATCGCACGTGAGGAGTACGTCGCTGTTGGTATTCGACAGGCACTACACCCCCAAGTCGATCTAGCTACTGAGCCACGTTGGGGACGTATTACTGGTACCATGGGAGAAGATGCCAATCTCACCAGTGCCTTGATGGTTGAGTACATCAAGGGTCTTCAGGGCGACAAGATCGGCCCCAACTCGGTTATCGCAACCACTAAGCATTTCCCCGGCGGTGGTCCAATGGAGGATGGAGAGGATTCTCACTTTCCTTGGGTAAGTAATACTCCTTCTTCTGGTAGAACAATTGCTGACGTTGAGGTGTAGGGCAAGAACCAGACTTACCCTGGTAACAACAGAGATTACCACTTGATCCCCTTCAAGGCCGCCATCGCAGCTGGCACTCGTCAAATGATGCCCTACTACTCTCGTCCCATCAACACCTCGTGGGAAGAAGTCGCCTTTGGCTTCAACAAGGGCGTTGTCAACGATCTTCTCAAGAAAGAGCTCGGTTTCGACGGCATTGTTGTTACTGACTGGGGAATCGTCACCACCCGTTTCTGGGGTCTTGAGGACCAGACCGAGCTTGAGCGTGCCCGTCGTGTTCTCGAAGCTGGATGCGATATCTTTGGTGGCGAGACCAAGCCCGAGCTTATCATTGAGCTCGTCAACAAGGGTCTCATCTCGGAAGCCCGCATTGATGAGTCTGTTCGCAAGCTTATGAAGGAGAAGTTTGAGTTGGGTCTTTTCGATAACCCCTTCGTTGATGTCGACAAGGCTGAGCGCATTGCTGGAAATGACTACTTCAGCCGTCTTGGAAACGAGACACAGCGTCGCGCATTCACTCTTCTCACCAACAAGGACGATGTACTGCCTCTTCCTCTGTCCGCTCTCAATGCCAAGTTCTACGTCGAGGGAATTGAACCCGAGGTCATGGAATCCCGCAATTTCAGCGTCGTCGAGAACCCAGAGGACGCAGATTACGCGTTCCTGCGCTTGGCCTCACCCTTCAAGCCCACCACAGCGCCCGGTCTTCCCGCCATGATCAACAACGGCAGTCTCGAGTTCAACACGACAGAAAAGGCTCGCCAGGCCAAGATCTACGCGACGCTGCCAACTGTCGTGGACATCAGACTCAACCGACCCGCTGCGGTACCTGAAGTCGCTGAGCAGGCTGTTGCGCTGTTTGGTAGCTACGGTAGCAGCCATGATGCATTCCTGGATGTTGTCTTTGGAACAGATGGTTGGGGTCCTGAGGGAAGGCTGCCTTTTGATCTGCCCGTGTCTCAGGAGGCTGCTGATGCGCAAAAGGAAGATGTGCCGTTTGACGTGGAGGCGTTGTTTAAGTTTGGCCATGGATTGAGGTATAAGGATACGTGCGACAGTTCATAGTGGTCATGAGATGATATGATGGTGAGATGATATGTAATGATATAGCTTTACCCTGATAAAGGGGCTGTAATTAAAATGAAGCGTTTGCGTATACATGATTCTTTGATGATGCATTGGCGTCTGAGTAGTGACAGTCACAACGACAAACATTTTCGTATTGGTCGAATGATGAATATCACTCTTACCGTTAATTAATTGACATTCTGTTTGTCAAGAACATGTCAATAATGTATCGCACTTAAGTCATGTTTGGTCGTAAACATGGAGTGAGACTTTCTTGACTGACGAATGCAGGTTAAATGGCCCGGAAATACTGAAACCAATCAAACGTAGATGGAAACATTTCAAAGCGTCTGAGCCTATGTTTCATAATCTCCGAGGTGACTGGCCAATGCTGACCTGCCAACTCAGACTGCAACTCAAGCAAATGAGGCCCTTTCTACTGCCAATATCTACAGACCACATCACAGCACATATACTCGGCTAAACATTTGCGGCAAATTCGAACATCTTCAGCGGAGATAAGAGCGGGCTTTATCCATTGTTGAGGCCTGTCACATGCAGGGGAGCGGGAATTGAAAGAACTTCTCCCTCTCTCCCAACAAAAGGATACACTCGGCACTCCCGGCCATCACGTGATACGCTGTTTCTTCTAGATTCTGTTGACGCAAGCCCCCTGTAAATCGCAAGCAGAGCGCAGGGATTGGATGCATTCGCTGTAAGCCCTGCCGGAACAATAGTGAGCCCGGCCCCCGAATGCGGCGAACCCCGGTCGGCGGGAAGACGGAGCTAGCCTGCTCTGCGCTCATCCATTGATCCAATCCCATCACCACGAGCACTGCTATTCCATTATTGTACGGCCTGTCTGTACATCACCACACCCTTTCGCCATTAGCGGGCTCTTGGAGAATCTCGACTTTGCATCCACTCCGTCCCTTTTCTTCATTATCTCCGACTTCAACTTATCTCGCTCTCTTCTGTTCTGCTGTACCATTTTGGACCCTTGATATCGATACGTTGCGCCGAGATTACGAAATTATACTCTACACCCTATCCGCCACATCTGATCCTCCCTCTACTCCCGACTCCTGCTCGCAATGAGCGCTTCCTCCAGTGTCGCTCGCAGGGCGGTTGCCCGGAACCCTTTGATGGGCAATGGTGAGCTCACATCGCCTTTTTGATGAGGTGTCGTTTACGTCCCCTGCTAACCTCTCACCAAAGCTCGAGCTCTCTCACGGGGTGTTACTCCTGCCCTCCTCGGTCGCCACGTCAGTCGTAACGTCAAAGTCCCGGCCATTGCTCTGTTGATCCCTCGATCGATGAGTACCGATCATCACCGACACGACCCCAGTTCTTCTGGCCCGCCCCCGGGATTCAATGCCGAGCAGGCTAAGAAGCCGCTTCCCAAGGATTCCACAGGCTCTGTTGTTGCAAAGAAGGAGGATAAGAAGCTTGATCCGAACACCAAGGATGCTGCTGTGTTGAAGCCCGCCGATGCCTCCGCCGCAGCCAAGGCTGATACAGAAGTTGTTGCCACCAAGGAGGGTGTGATGGAGAAGGGCGATGCTGCTCAAAAAGCCAAGGAGGAGAAGAAACTTACTCTCTGGGAGAAGGTCAAGAAGGAGGCTCACCACTATTGGGATGGATCTAAGCTGCTCGCCGCTGAGGTCAAGATCAGCTGGCGATTGGCCCTCAAGATGGCTGCCGGATACGAGCTCACCCGACGTGAGAACAAGCAACTTCAGAGAACAGTCCAGGATCTTGGTCGTTTAGTGCCCTTCTCCGTCTTCATCATCGTTCCTCTGGGTGAGGCACTTCTGCCTCTTGCCCTCAAGCTCTTCCCCAACATGCTCCCCAGCACATTCGAGGGACAAAAGTCAAAGGAGGCCAAGGCCACACTCCTCCGATCCACACGCAAGGAAGTCAGCCAATTCTTAAGACAAACGCTCGGCGAGTCTGGCTTGCCAGTGAGTCAAGCAACAACACAAAAGGAAGAGTTCTCCAACTTCTTCCGCAAAGTTCGCGCCACTGGCGAAACACCCACAGCCGAGGATGTTATCAAGGTCTGCAAGGTCTTCCGCGATGATTTGACCCTCGACAACCTGTCACGACCTCAGCTCGTTTCTATGTGCAAGTACATGAACCTCAACACGTTCGGTACCGACATGATGCTCCGATATCAGATTCGCCACCGTATGCGACAGATCAAGCGCGATGACAAGGCCATCAGCTACGAGGGTGTTGACAGTCTGACTGTTGCTGAACTCCAGGCTGCTTGTGCTGCTCGTGGTATCCGAACACACAGTGTCTCCCCTGCTCGCATGCGTGCGGATCTTCAGACTTGGCTCGATCTCCGACTCAAGGAGGGTGTTCCCTCAACACTTCTCGTCCTGAGCAATGCCTATATGTACGGACAGGGCTCAGGCGAGGGTTACAACCAGGTCGAGGCTCTCATCGGTGTCATGTCCGCCATCCCCGAGGAGCTGTACCACGAGATTGAGCTTGAGGTGCACAGTGCTGAGGGTGCTGCCACTAACAAGCAGCGACTCGAGGTCATCAAGGAGCAGCAGGATCTCATCGAGGATGAGGCAGAGCAGGACCAGGCTAGTCAAAGCTCTGGCTTCGCCACTCCCCGAGACACGGATGATATCGATGAGAAGGAGGAGAGACTCGCTCAGGCTCAAGCTGAGGGTCTCGGCAAGAAGCAAGTTAGCGAGATGGTTGATGCTGAGATGGAGTTGGCCAAGGCCGCTGAGTCTGCTGCATCGCTAGAGCGGGAGATCAACGCCAGCTCTGGATCGTCCAAGGAGCAGAAGTAGACGAGAGGAGGTGAAGTGAAGTGAGCTAGAGGCTCAATGTACCATGACTTGGTGTGTGTGTTTTTCATATGTATGACTGTATGGATTGGTATGGCATCAAGGCGGGATGGGAATTAAGGCGCTATGCTGCTGTATCAAAAACTGGCCCCCGACATTTGAGAGGACCAAAGATTAAGTATTACTTGTTTGGGATAGACCACTCTCGACGGGAAGCAATAGATTCCACTGAATGATTTTATTTGTATACATAATTGACTTGCCAGAAACACTTGCACTTGTGAGTTGACTTATTTCCGAGTGATGTTCTATCGATGCCTATGGTGAGACCCTTTGGGCTTGGCGTAGCTGCGTCATCGTCTTTGCTAATGTAGATCCTGGTAGAGGGGTACTTGTAAAGGTGATGACAAGGTATCACTACGGCCGCTAGAAATAAGTTCAAGTACTCCAGAGTAATTCAATAAACTGTAGAGTAGATATAGAAGAGCCTTACAAAGTCTCTCTAATCCTGGGCACAGCAATGAGGTGATATTCTAGAATCGCTGCATCCTTGGAAGCCCCTCTATATCTCACAGTGGTCCCTGCGCCACCCCAGCTCCCCACGTCCTAACCTCTACCACTTAACTTAGCACCACCAAGCTTCAAGTCAAGCCAACCCAACCCAGCTCCCGCCAACTCCGCCCACTTTCAATCAACGTCACCTCTACTATCCTTCCTCTCCAACCGCCTCACATCGCTACAACATTCAATCCTCCACTCGCCCTGATCGAAAGGCCCGCACTACCATCTTACGCATTGGCCCCGCAATGACGGCCATGGAACAGCAACAAGACGACTTCTCCAACGTCTCGTGGAGCGAACACGTCCACGACCAGACATCCCGCACTGTTCCTCCCGCTGAAGAACCAGGCCATGATATGAATGCGCCCGGGACAGGTCTGGAGATAGATGCCCCGTCGCTGGGGAATGAGGTCCTGGAGTGTACTGTTGGGACGCCCATCAAGGAAAATGACGGCACCAAGGATGCTTTTGTCTCGTATCTCATCACCACTCACGTACGTACCCTTCACTCACTCTATCATGCGCTGAATCTAACCATTGCAGTCGACATTCTCTGCCTTCCAGCGCTCGACTACAACCGTCCGCCGCCGCTTCACAGACTTCGTATTCCTCTACAAACAGCTCACCCGCGACTATCCCGCCGCTGCCGTGCCCCCTCTGCCCGACAAGCAGCGCATGGAATATGTCCGCGGCGACCGCTTCGGCTCTGACTTTACCATCCGCCGCGCCCACTCCCTCCAGCGCTTCCTGAATCGACTGTCTCTCCATCCTACACTGCGCCGCGCTCCGATCCTGCATACGTTCCTCGAGAGCCCGGACTGGAATGCTACCATGCGCAGTCGTGGTGCGCGAGCGAGCTCTGCGAGTGATCCTGGATCTGCGGGGGTGTTTGATAACTTTGCCGATACATTCATCAATGCTTTTACAAAGCTGCATCGCCCGGATCGTCGGTTCCTTGAGGTCAAGGAGAAGAGCGATAAGCTTGATGATGACCTTGGACATATCGAGAAGGTTATTGCCAGGGTTGCTAGGCGAGAGACGGATTTGGAGGTGGACTTGCGAGATCTTGCAGAGCAGTTTCAGAAGCTCATCCCGCTTGAACCCCATGTCGAACCCGCAGTTCACGGTTTCTCTGCTTCCATCGAAGACACAGCGACTCACCTACGGAAACTCAAAGACGTCACCGACCAAGATTACCTGGGCTCCCTCCGCGACATGCAAGCTTACTCCATCGCCCTTAAGAACCTCCTCAAAGCCCGCGAGCAGAAACAGCTTGACTACGAACAACTCACCGAATATCTCAACAAATCCACCACTGAGCGCGACACTCTCCAGTCCGGACATCACGGCGGCTCCGGCGCCGGAAGTTTTCTACGCGCCAAGATCGAAGACGTGCGCGGCGTAGACCACGAACAGGCTCGTCGCGAGCGCACACGCAAGTTGGAACTCCGCGTTGAAGAGCTGACCCACGAGGTTGAGAGCGCTCGCAAGACAAGCGACATGTTTGACGATGAGGTTGTCAAGGAGGTTGCTGACTTTGAGCGCATCAAGAGGATCGAGATGAAGAGTCAGCTGGGAGGTCTTGCGGATGCGCATATTGAGTTCTATGGCGAGGTTGCTAGCATTTGGGAAAAGTACGTCCAGGAGATGGAAAAGGAGGGTATCGTGAATGCGTAGAGGGAAGCGGGGATTCAAGTTTTATTGGGCGTTCATTAGGATATGGCGTTTAGGTTGTTTAGACGATGACGAGGACTCGATGAAGTAGCTCGTCTAGAAGAAAGACATTCATGGTAATAGCACAGTCGGTACTCGTAAACGAAGGGCATTGAAGAATCTCAAGAGTGAGTATAAGTTTGAAGAATTGGTGTCTGATTCAAGAATCACCTCATATTTCAGTCTTGACATTTTGTACCAAACGCCATCCAAGGTCTATTGACAAAGGCACAGTATAACCAACATCGACAAGACAAATAACACAAACTCCGCTAATCCATGCAAAAAAGCAATCAAATAGCTTGCTACGATGCCCAAGCCATGCATCAACGTCCGCCCAAAGGTCTTGTCTCACCCTTCTCATCATCACTGCTCTCCTCCTCACTCTCCTCATCGCTGTCACTGTCTTCTCCGACGGCGTAATGCTGCGTATCATCACCAGCCAATCTATCACGAGATTGCTCGCGATCATCTCTGTAGTCTTCAAACTGTTCATCATCGCTGCCCTCGGCAAAGGCATCGTACAGTTCTCCGCCACGAGTCCTGCGGGCCTTGCCACCGGCGGCCTTTTCGCCGGCTCGAAGACCCTCAGCCTCTTCTTCGTCAATGAGTTCGAATTCGTAGTTGTTGTGGGAGGTGTTGCGGAGACGGCGGCGGCGAGCGATCCAGAAATAGATGCCTAGACCGATGCAGAAGGCTGCGATGAGACCGACTGCGCCGTAGATCCAGATCTGTGCTTTCTTGGAGGCGCCGAAGGTGGGGAGCCAAGAGACCCAGGATGACGAAGCTGTAGTCGTTTCCTCGGCAGACTCTTGGGTGCTTGAGGGCTCTTCCTCATCAGTGCTTGTAGGTCGAGCGGGCTTGTTGGGTCGTTCAGGGTGGTCAGTAGGGTGTTCGATGAGAGTAGGCTTGGTAGCAGGAGGTGCTGAGGTTGTAGAAGCAGCTATTGTCGTAGTAGACACGATCTTGTCGTGGTCCTTGTCATCGTCTGCGTTTGGCATGGGTAACAGAGTTGCCTTGTCTGCTTCAATGGCTTCACCCCAGAGCTTCAGGCGCCAGTCGGTAAAGCTGCCCTTGAATGAGTTCTTCTCAGTGTCGCGGACAATGATAGTCCACTTGCCGACACCACTTTCACCCCTATATAAAGTTAGAATGAGCAGACCAAGTGTAAGGAATACGTACCAGTGAGCAACACTCATGAAGGTCCAGTCAATATATCCCTCCTCCTTGGCATCGCCTCGTCGAGCAACTGCAAGATGGCTGACCACGTTGTCAGGGCTGATCAAGTCAACGCTCAGGTCACCACGTCGAGTGTGCTCAACGTTCATAGTGACAGTGATGTGTTCAACACGAGCAAGGTTGGAGCCCTTAAGCATGTCCTCAGTAACTTCAAGCGTCACACTCAACCCATCTCGGCCTTCGGGGATCGACTTCTTGACATGAACCCAGGGAGAGAAATACCATGACTGTGGCTTGACCAAGGGCCAAGCCTTGGCTCTCTCGACCAAAGCCCACGAATCAATCTTTCCATAACCGAAAACGTGACTGAACTTCTTGCCAATCGTGGTATTCTGCTGATTGGATTCGTCACCTTCAATCGGGATGGCAGTGTCCATGGCAATGTATTGCAAGTCTCTCCAAGTGAGCTCAGGCCGAACCTGAAGAGCCAGCGCAAAGATACCAGCAGCAAGAGGCGCGGCAGCAGATGTACCACCGTGAGCCTTGTAGCAGCTGTTCTTTCCAACATCGGTTGTGTGCTGAATGGGTTAGTCAACATTCTAGACAAAGGCAATATTGAACCTACAATAGCATCTCCGCTTCCACTGCTGTATGTAACAACCAATTGAGCGGAGCACTCTTCAGCGTAGTAAGGATGAAGTCCAGTACGGTCAACAGCACCAATGGTAATACTGTAGATCGAGTTGGTGTATCCATCAAAGTTGCAGTTGTCACCTTGACCGGCACCATTACCACTGGCAAAAACGTAGATGGAACCAAGACCACGACGTCCCTTTTGAATCGCCTTGAGCATAGCTCTCCGAATCACCACATCAGGTGCCTCCATGGTCTGACCATCATCAGACGGACCCCATGAGCAAGAGTAGATATGGTTGTCGTCGTATTTGTACATCATAGCTTCCGCTTCGTCGGCGTCACTAATGAGCTTGCTTAGAATTCGGAGACCGGCGACCTTGGAATCATACGCGACACCAATACCGCAAACGTCGTTGCGAGCAGCTGCCACCTCACCAGCGCAGCGGGTACCGTGTCGATCCTCGTCCAAAACAGGGGCAGGTTCGGGATCGTTGTCGTTGAAGTCCCAAGAGCCAGCGGCGAAGTAGTTGGGCTTGAGATCGTCGCTATGCATATCAAGGCCGTCGTCAATCACGGCCACGGTAACGTTCTTTCCGGTGATGCCATCTAGCCAAAGGCCAGTGACATTGACATCGTGGCCGACTTGGGTGGGGTTCAATAGATGCCACTGCTCCTTGAAGATGGGGTCCTGAATGTCCAGCTCCTTCATAATCGACGCCTGGTATTTGCTCATCAGGTCTCGAGCTTCGACAGGTGATTCGCGACGTCCGAGTTGAGGGACATAGCCTTTTGGCGGTGGAGGGATCTCTCGCTTGAACAGGTGTTGTCGTGCTTGTTGCTTCTTGGACAGAAGAATACCATCAACCGGATCAGAACCTCCTAGATCTCGCTTCCTTCTCTTTCGCTCTGTAATTTCTCTCTTCACAATATCGTGTTCGGCCTTGCGGGCGCGGAATACATGATGGTCGTCGAGCGCACCAAGCTGGCCCTCGTGGGCAAATCCAAGTCGACTGGCGACTTGATCGGGTGTCGTTGTCGTATCGAGATGGAGGACATAATAATCGTTTAATGCGTAATCTCGTGCCGGTCTGGATCCATGAGCCAGAGCCGTAAAGCCGGCGAGGCTCAACAGCGAAGCAATCTTCATGATGCGAAAGGAAAAAGAAACCTTGCAGCGCAAGGGGAGGTGCGAGAGGTCGAGAAGCTGTTTAACACATCCAGAGAAACGCTATCAAACGGAACGAGAACTGGAGAAAACGGAGATGTTAGCTTCGATGCTGAGGTAGCGAAAATTGAATGGCGGCGACAGCGACGGGAGTTGCCACGCGGAGGTCTATATTCGTGGTGGCTAAGGGGATCAAGAATGCAAAGCAATGCTGCTACGTTTTCGTACCACCAGCGTGAGATTGTCGGCGCAGGTCGCACAGCTTATGCTGTTCGGCAAGAACGGTTTCTTATTATCGTACCTCGAAAATGCAACGTAATCGATCAAAGTTTTCGGAGAAGCTGGGAGTTTTGGAAAAGGGTTTAAGGAGGGAACAAAGAGATGGGGTTGGGATGCTCTCGTGGTGATGCGTGGCCTCGAACGCTCCCGGGGAGGTACCACCCAAAGTTCCTGACAAAAATAGGGGACCTGCACTGGAGCCGCTGGTGGTGCGTGGCCTAGAAGGGGGTCCGGGGGGAATCAGTCCGCTAAGGACACACGGCCACCTACCGGATATGCTACTAGCTGCGCCACAGTGGACATGGACCAATGCAACATAAAGTATCACGTTTTTAGTTTTCGCATTTGGTTTGAGACGAGATCTACAGGTATTGGGATCTAGGCAAATGCTAAAAATATTGAATTTTCTGAAAATGCCAGTCTCTCTACTACTTTGTGATTATTGCATGCACTTATTCTTCTGCCTATTCGCACTGCCCAGGCATCATCATCATCAGCTCAGCCAAACGCCACAGCTCCGCCACTCTTGACAGATCTCAAACACTCAGACCCAAGATTAGACCAGATCTGGACCAGTGCGTAGCATCCTCCCACCAAAACTGCACCTCAATAAGCGGCTCAATAGAGGCACGGTCCCTGAAACATGAGGAATTCACCTCAAGAATGTGGTTGCCAAGCAATAAAATAAGCATTTCTTAAAATTAAGTCTAACACAGGAACTCGCTCTAAAAGATCTCATTCCATAGTCTATCGCCCCAACGCCATTTCTAAACCAAGCCTATCCGTTTTTAAATCGTTATATGAGCACTCATAGAGACTCCTCTTTGTGAATCTCAATGCTTGGTGGTGCGCCTGTGAGAGCCTTGCATTGAGCGTACACCACGAATTGAGCGCCGACGAGACCGCATGTCATGACGATACGAGGTCCCAGTCCAGTGAGAAGCAATCGCTTGGGTCCGAATTCTTTGGCAAGTTGGAACATGCGACTTGTTGCGCCCTGGCTCTTATCACCAGCGCCCTTGTTAATCGCTGATAACAGGGTATCTGCAGGGTGAGAGAGAATGGCGGCAGCAGCACCGGCGGTGATACCAGATGTAAGCTCTACTCCAGTTGACTCAAGCTTTGTGAGCTTCTCCTTTCGCTCGGGGCCCATTGCACGGAAGATGACCTCGTTGACAGCCTCATGAACAGAGAACTGGCCGACAGCGAATGGAATCTGTTTGAACAGCAGAGGAACAAAGCCAGAGTAGAAGCCCTTGAAGCCCTCCTCACGCGCCATTCTCGTGAAGCCCGAAAGCAAACCATCGGCATATCCTCTTTGCGAAACGAGTCGAATTCGCGTAGCCTCGAGCGGGCACAGAAGAATATCAGCAAAGAACTCGGCCGACGCACTGGCAGTGAGATAGACGCCCGTTCGATGGTCGACAGCCTTCTCAGGACCTCCAAGCATAGTGATGTACTTCTTCTTGAAGAACTCGTAACCAGCGAACTTGGCACCACCTTGTACGAGGTAGCCTACTGCAGTTGGGCCGAAGCCAGTCAGCAGTGCCGAAGCACCCTCCTTGGCGACGATGCTGCGACCGGCTGAGAGCATGTTGTATCCCTTCAAGGCATCGTCGACCTGGATTCGTGTCTTTACGACATCAATTGGCGTGACGGCCTGTATCTTGTCAGCTTGCGACTGTTAGCTCGTGAAGCATGCGAC